CCAACAAGAAGTCCATGCGTTGCTGCTCTTGCTGGATCAAGAAGTTCGTCTGCTGCTGCTTCATGATGTCGTGCTGCTGCTGCAGCCATGCTTGCTGCTGCATGGACCCCCATGGCATCCGGGCCTGCATCTGCTGTGCTTGCTCGTGCACTGCAGTGTCATGCACATGCTTTGCTAGCATTTCTTGCTGCCGCAACAAGTCCTTGTCAACCGAGTCACCCGGAGGGGTCTTTGGCTGGGGCACAGTCGGCATGGCAGTGGGAGGGGTCTTTGGCTGAGGCACACTTGGCATGGCAGGGTGCACCTGTGGCTTCACGTAGCCCGGAGGGGGGTAGGAAGGCTCCTTTGGAGTGAGCCGAGGAGGGTCGGGCGGGAACGGAGGCCTTTCCCCAGGCCCGTCTGGAGTCTCGGCCTCCTTTTTCACCTCTGCCTCCAAGGCCTTTGTCTGCTTGCCTAGGATGTTGGTCGAAGATATGTGTTCAAAGCATCACATCAACATGCGAGGGCCATGCAAGGAGCACAAGGCAAGTTCGAACATGCAAGCAACAAGAATATCCTAGCTCACGGAAGCACGACACCGATGCAGCCAAGCAGCGGGCAGCCCTGAGCTGTTCCACCAGGTCCCTTGATTCCTCAGAATCATCCAGTGTAGCGATCATCGCCAGCGTAGTGGGCGAGAAGTCGTCATCATCCGTCTCCTGCTTCACCTTTGCTTGTGTTTAACACATGACAAGTATTCTAGGGATATATTTGCAATGCCATCAGGAACAGCAAGAAAGCAACTGGGCTACATCATGATTGCTATCATGCAAGGTGACTGCCACCGGTGGCACAGCCGATGCCGGCTGCCGCTGGCCTTCCATGGCTGCTTGGCCAGCAATCAAAGAGCTGCACGACCACAGCTTCGAGGGTCCCTCACTCATAACTCGGACCCAAAATGTCTCTTGGATTGAGTTTTAGCATGCACAAGAGCACCAAAGCATACACTGCATGTCATGCCAGCACACTAGCAACAGCACCATGCAAGTCAACATGCAACCGCCCTGAGCAAGCAAAGGAGGGGAGGTATCACCTGCTAGTCGGCGGCGTTTCTCGACCTCGTCTTCGGCAGTGGTACCTGGCAGCAATTGTGTGGCATGACAACGGAATGGATGCACTGGCATATTCTGCTTGAGACTGAGAACACATGGGACATAACATGCATGTGCAGCAAAAGCAAGATAGCCAAGGACAAAGTCAGTGGGTGGTGGCTGTGGGGAAGCGGGGGGGGGTTGGGGGGGGCTTGGGGGGTGGTGTGGGGAAGGGGTGAAGGGGGGTTGGGGGGTTGGGGTGGTGTGGGAAAGGGAGGGGGGGTTGGGGGGGAGGGATTGAGGGGTGGGTGGTGGGGTGGGGGGTGAAGGGTGGGTGGTGGGTGGTGGGGCGCAACCCATACCTGCGGAAACCCTTGTGCCTATAGAAGCACAATAGATTTCCAACAAGATTTTCTAACTAGCTCGGATCTGGCCGAAGGCATCGAAATAAGCGTTATCGGCTTATTCCAAGCACTCCCGAAGGGTGCGCAAGGTTTTAAAAGCTAGGCACAATAGATTTCCAACAAGATTTTCTAACTAGCTCGGATCTGGCCGAAGGCATCGAAATAAGCGTTATCGGCTTATTCCAAGCACTCCCGAAGGGTGCGCAAGGTTTTAAAAGCTTTCCAGGATCACTCATTGTTTTTGGTTTTCCAACATGAGACTTTGTGCTTTTGTACAGCAGAGATAGGTGGAGACCATGGTAGTTTTGGTTTTCCAACTGTTTGCGTTGTGCATGTGGCTGGTTAGAGTAAAACAGATCCAAGGCATTGGTTGGAAAACCGTTTATTATTGGTTTTCTTGCACGTGGGTACCGTCACCAGCAAAAACCATTAAAAAAGTATTGAAAATTTCAAGAATTTCCAGATTGCGCGTGATTGCGCCAAGAACTGGTTTTCTTGCGCAGAGAACTGGTTTTCTTGCGCAACCTTGCGCGAGATTGCGCGGGGGTTCCGGGATACTTTTTTGGTTTCGGGGCGGTTTGGGTGGTGTTTTGGTTTTCAACCATCGGTTCCAACTATTTCCAACGCATGTTTGCGTGTTCTCTTAAAACGACTGCTTTGGAGCTCACTATAGTGTTGGTGTTGGCAGCAACTCATGCATGTGCAAGCTATCAAGTCATCAAGTTGTGCTTCCAACACAATCACAAGTCCAAGCAAGATGTGTTTGTTCAGCCGACAGCAGCTTCAGCAGTTCATGCTTCTAGCACATGAATTGGGCATGCGGACCTAATGAATTATTGCAGGAGTCTTCTATACATTAGATCACAGGTTCAGAGCTTGTTTGAACACCATTGGCATGACCAAGCTCTTACAACCTCGAAGATAAGCGATCACCTCAGGCATACCGGCTTCCTCCCAGAGCTGCTGGTCTTGCTGAATCTTGGTCAGAAGATTCATGACCGACTCAGACCCAACTTCCTGGGGCACTGACATATATTTCATTGGCATGATTATCAGAATGAAGTACCAAAGCTTGGTTACATGTGACAAGACACAGATCAAGCCAACTTGCAGCTCAGAGCTCCTTTGGTGAACGCAGCCCCGTGATATGTGAAGATAGCTTCGGCAACAAAGCACCGATACGGTACCCAAAGGCACGGGTGTACATCCTTGGCAAGACAGCACACATGCCACACAAGGCCAAGGATGTTGTTGACAAGCAACCAAGGTGTTCGTGCTTGCACATGTTGGTATTCAGTCTTTGAGGCCGTAGCTGGCTCTTCTTCAGCTTTTTCTGCACTCCAGTGTACCGAGTCTTTCCCGTGGAATCAACATAGCGTCGGACGAGGGATTGGGCTGTGTCTCGCATCTCCTCAGGGCTGATAGCACATGCCACATGCAGCAACGGCGTGTCATGCATCATGGCAACATACAGCTGCAGAACATGTGCATTGTTGCGAAAGCAAGCAGCCTTGGACACAGTATCAGAACCCAGCTCGCCGATCAATCTGCTGTTAGACCAGAGACATGACTTCTTCATACTCGGAGCACCGAAAGCCCTCATGTTGATTGTTTGTCGGTAAACCTGAGTATCTCAGAGGGCAGGCATCCAAATAAATATTCCCCATACAAAGTAGCTCTCAACTCGCAACCGGTATGTCTCAGCTCAGCTACCCATGCCACTTCTTGACAGAAATGCTCCCATTGTGGCAAGAAAGAAAACTTGGCACTTGCGGGCTGCTCAAGGATAAAGCACAGGTTCAAAGCCGTGGCCAGGTAGCACAGAAGAATGCACCTGCCCATACCCCATGAAGCGGCTGGCTTATGGAAGATACTAGCAAACTCTGCGTCGCTCAGGACGATTATATATGCTCCGACTCCGACGGAGAATGGCACCTGTGGGCCAATAAGTTGCCGGTCCGCACCCAAGGGAGCGAGGTGTCCCCTAAAGGACACACTATAGATCGCCCCGATTGAGAGGCACACATATCCGAAAAGGAAGAGCACACAGGAGCCAGCACCACGAGTCCTCCGGCTTGGAGACGAAGGGCTGCAACCAATGCTAACCTTCGATATTCTTGACTGCGAACTTGTTCATGTGGAGATCTATACATAGAATTATGTATACAATGCACAACACAACATTGTCAGTTGCTATCCGGGAGCGCCATGCCAGCTGGAGTCAAGAGGTCGTAATATGTCTGATCAGGTGCGTATTCGTAGTCCAGGGCAATCGTTTTGAACGACAGTTTCTTTAAACTCATGGTAAGATTTGCTTTGCCTGCAAAGAACTCTACAGCACGCCAATCCTCAGACAAGCAATCAAGCCGACAATTGACATGACATGCTATACAATCACAAGACTGTGAGCACACTGTAATTCAATCGGCAAGCACGGCTTAGGTGGATATCTTCGATGAAGTAGAGGAGCAAGCAGCAAACGACCACAGCCTTGTATTGCAAAGTACAGACCGATACAGTAACATCACAAGACATGCAGCCACAGCAATGCCAACACTTCTATATAGACAATCGGATAGATAGATAGCCGAATTGCCCGTGGAACCCCAGCTCTGTAGAGGTTGCATACAAGCACCCGCAGGTTCCATGCATTGCGTCGGCTGAACATGTTCGTAAGAGGGTCTGTGCAGATCTTGCATCTAGCAGTCTAGCAGAAGCCAATGATGCAAATAGCTTCAAACCTATGACGGAAGTTGGCACGGCGGAATTATGTTCGAAACCCCTGAACCGTGTCACTGCTGCAATCAAGCACAACAAAAAGGCTGCAGTCAAGAGTTGTTCCAGTCCAACTTGCAGTGCATGCACATGCCAATCTACCCAAGCCAAGGTAACAGGTAACTCCAGCTTCATGCACGAGGGCAACCATGCCAGCTTCACCGACACTTGGCTGCAGTCGTTTCCAGCCGCGGGGCATCGGCGCCGACACCTCGATCAGCAATGTGTTTGCATCAGCAGCAACACTCAACAACAAACAAGCTTGTGGCATGATGCTTGCTTGCAAGTTGATTGCAACATATGCCTGCACAATAGGCTGCAATTATTTTTTCTTCCAGCGGGCTGGGATAACGATGATGTCCCAATCTTCAGGACCACGGCACCACACAGTAGGCAACATCCGACATGTGTGATGTTTAAACAGGCAGCAATCACATCAAAAATGGAGCGGACAGCTCCTGCCACACGTATGTCTACGATTCCGTTTGCAATTGCTTTGCAATTCCGGCTGTAACTGCAAGCAGGCCCAGGAGGCAACCCCGAGGATCCATCGTCGCTGCTACTCAGACAAGATCAACATGTGGAAGGTTTTCCATAGCCCAACCTACCCCATGGTTTTTTTCTATACATCATATATATACCACCATACAGCACACTAGCCCACTCCGGAGAGTGGGAGACGGATCCAATCCTCCAGACCTGTTCCTAAGCAATCACGAACCTGGAAAAAGGCTCTTGGCTTCTCAGGTATCTACACCAAAGGAGGCGTGGCTTTCAGCTCGGCTCGGTACTTGCGTCGCAGGTTCATCAAGACGGAGTTTGCTTCGTAATTCACTTGTGCCCATTTTACATTCTTCCCATTCTTCTCGAAGAACTGCACCTTTCTTAGATCAGCAGCATTTCGAGAGTTTCAACGATAGTACATGAGTATAGACCATATCATGCAGATATTCAATCGAGCAACCATCTCATTGCAAAGCTCGATCAGCACCGTGAACGATGCCCACGTGTAGCAAAACATAGACTTCCCCGACTCTTTGCATCGCACACCACATTTCGGGGCGGCACAAGTCCAATACACTTCGACACGATAGGTAGGCCCGTGAGCGATAAGCCTGCATGATCATCAAATTTTGCAAGAAAAGCACAAGCAAGTCAAGCACACAAGCACATGCACACATGCTCCATCGAATATTTCCCAGTGACGACTTGAGGTGCTTCTTCTGCTCGGAGGTGACAAGGCACTCTCCTTTTTTCACTCGCTTCGGCTGCTGGGCCTGATCAGGCTTGTCAATGTCCTGGGACTGATCGGAATCCTGTGGATCATGCTCCTTCTCCTCCTTCTCCTGAATGGGGGCGTCTGTCTCCTGATCCTTCTCTTGCTCCTCCTCTGGGTCGTGCTTCCTCTTGATGCTCCCATTGGCCGCAGCGGGTCGCTTCAGAGCGGCCTTTGCCTTTGCCTTACCCTTAGGCCACCCTTTCTTCTTTGGGGGGGCCTTATCCTGACCATCATCAGCATCCTCGTCCTTCTGCTCTTGCGGTGCTTCTGCGGGCTTGCCTGTTGCACTCTTGGCCTTTGGGTTTGCTTTGCTCTTCCCTGCAGCCTTCGCTTTGGCCTTACCCTTAGCCTTGGCCTTAGCCGAGGACTTCGCCGTTGGTTTCGGCTTGGGGTCAACTGCATCTGCCGATCCTTCGTCCTTCTTCTTCCTGCCTGATGCCTTTCTAAGGGAATTCTGAGCCGCGTGAGTTAGCAGAGGAATGTCGTCTCCACTGTCCTTCTCAGCCTCCTCCATTCCTTCAGGGTTCTGCTCAGGCGAATAGTGCTGGGTTTGCTGATTGTCTTCTTGCTCCTCTGCTCCCTTGATTTCCTCGGGATCATGTCCATGCTCCTCCCCTGCTCCCTTGATTTCCTCGGGATCATGTCCAAGCCCACCCTGCTCTTCATCCCCACATGTTGCTGCATGCTTGTCTGCTCCATTGTCTGCATGCTCATGATCAAGCAATCCATTGGCTCGCATGAATGCCTCAACACCTACACCGCGATGAAGTGGCTCGGGGCTCGCAGACTCCGTATCTGAGCCATCCTCAGACCGGACCTCCAGGCTCACGGATCGCCGATCCGACTCCACAACCTCCCCCCAGGACACAGGTGGCTGCAACCGATCTTTGGGAGGGGTGATGGGCAGCTCCTCCGGATTCCATTCTGCGGCGCGAGCACGCACGAGGGCAGGGGTCTCTGGGGGCACATCAATCGGAAGCTCCTGAATCGGAAGCTCCTGATCTTCTTTCAAATGGTCACCCAGTTGCTTGGTTGTGGCGTCCGACCTAAATTTTATGCAACACACCATGATGTCTCATGATAAAAGAGATATAAAGATAGCAATAATCCGATAAAAACAAACAATCAACCAGTGTCATGACATGAAGCAACTGGTCGTGTAAATACACAAGTGGCAGTTGTTGCAACCGTGTTTCTCATCACCACTGCTGGCATCAATTGCTGTGTCCTGCGCAACAACCAGATCCCATGAGCAACACACACAGGCAAGAAGATTTAATGCCAACCTCGCACTAATATCCTCACGACTCCCAGCAGACGATCGTAGCCGTGATGCCGCATCCTTAGCAACATGCAATCATAAGGTTCGCGCAACAGGTTATGATATGCCAATCGACCAGATAAACGAGAGGATGTCTGTTGCCTGAAGCAAAGCTAAGGACCCACAAATTCGTGAAGCAGAGGATCCTCCAGAACTTGACCTTCCACTACCTGGGTGTCCACATTATCCATGAGGCCGGGATTGGCATGGACTTGAACACGTGGCAGCTGCCTGCGATGACAGATAGCAGCTAAATATACACAGCTGTACAGACAAGCACAAGCAGCACAAGCAGCACAAGTTGCAACACGACGACGGGACTGGTGGGACTTGATACAAAGACGAGGGGCTTGGCGGTGTTCACCAACTTCGCCAGTTTCTGCTTCAGATACCCGTAAGCATCACTTCCAGCGCCTATTCAACAAACTGTAAGGGGTAGGACCAGCAGTAGTATAGAAACAGCAGCTCTCACAAGATACCATGTCCAGCAGCACAAATGCCTGGTGCTGGAGTTGCAAACACGATCTCCACATCATCGAAACTCTCATCGGTCCAAGTGATCTTCTTGGCAGAGGCTGGGCCATCTGCCACATTAGCATGTTTGCTTGCAACCAACAACAACTCTCATGTCAATTACATCCCTTTTTTCATACTCGAATCACCCACCTGAGGTCAAGTCTTGGGAATCCGGATCAAAGGATGCCACCGACGGAGCTGACAGAAGTTCAGCTCCAAACCTATCTTCACTGCCCATTGCAGATGCTGGTGGCTCCAGGTCTGAGTCGCTCTCCTCCTGGGGATTGTCAAAGATAGCCTCCACTCCCATCCATGGTGGGAGTGCCGGCCCTTCATACACAGCATCCCCCTCAGGCTCAGTGCCTGTAATATCGTCTCCAGCATCTTCGATAGGAGCAGCCTCTTCATCCTCTCCTTCCTGGCAATCCTCCTCCTCCTCTTCATCCCCCTCATGCTCAGCTTCCTCGGGAGCATCCTCTGGCCCCGCAGGCCTCCGATGATTTGGCCTATGAGCATGTCGGTACACCGCCAAAGCACCTTCATCCCCAAGACGACCACGATACAAATCCTTATGTATTCTCAAAGCACAAGCAAGCCAGTTGATTCTCAATAATCAAGTCATGCATGATTGATGCTTGTTGTATTGGGTTGCATGCATGATTGATGCTTGTTGTGTCAAGTTGCATGCATGATTGATGCTTGTTGTGTTAAGTTGTGGCTTGCATCAATGCCAAGTTGTTGCTGCGATGTTCAAACGTGATATGCAATACCAAGGACACTCAGGAACTGGACGTCGGGGTCGCGCTGCACATCCGAACGTTCCATGAGCCCTCAGGCAAATACAACTGTGACGACAACAATACTTCCAGTACTTTCTTGGGAACACTAATCCTATAGACGAGCGACTCTTATGAGCGATCAGAAAGCTTTTGATGGCATGAGCATCCTGATTGATTTGAGTCTCCAGGATCTCCACCTGTGCCAACACGGTGCAATGCAGACTTGCTTAATAGAAGACCATGGTAATGTGTAAAGTTTGGCCATGACAAAATAGATTGCAACTGTCTTCTATAGATTAAGCAAAGCCACACCGAACTTTCTGGCTACCACCGTCAGCACCGGGGCAATCACTGGAATGCGAGCGATTTGAGGATGGCTTGCGAAGTTGGGCACGAAGTGGCGGAGCAGAATCTTCAAAGGGTCTACATCAACATATTTGCAAGTCTGTACATAATGCAAAACAGCCTTATCATGCATTAATGTCCTTGTTGAGTTTCATAGCATCTGTGGAAGCCTTACGGAGCTTGCCCTTCTCGCTCAGCGGCCACATAACGAAGATCTTAATGTGAAGCGTTCGAGCTTTCAGCTCCTCGTCCACCGATGCTGCCTGCGAGTACTAACAACACCACACATATATGGACTGTTTGGGCCATGTAACTACAGATCTCCACATTTCCGTCATTAGCCTCAATAATATTCTGCATCTGTCTTTTCAAAACCTGCTTCGGATCTTCCGCCATGGCTACAGAAGGTCAATGACGCCTACCTACCCGAGCAAGGAAATGCACACAAACCGCAAATGGATCATGAAAGATCATATAGCCATATACCATGGATTGCAACGAAGATCTCTCATGCAACTTGAGAAGCTGCAGGCATCAGGAATAACAACTAATATAACATGCAAATGCCAGCACCAAATGGTCCAAGCATGCACGAAACTGCCAAACACAGCTCATGGGCTCAAGCAATCAAGGCCAATGGCAACATGTTTGTTCTGCTGCATGCTGAGATCGGGGCAACCCATTCAAGAAGGGGCTCAGTCAATCATTGATGCTTGCTTCAAGTTATTATTGCTCATCGCCTGCCCGTGCAATAGATAGACCAGGTATCGATTGATGATAGTATGATTCGATGCTCGGTGCTGCTGCCTAGCATGTAAAGACAAGAGCATGCAATCCATGTTCGAGCCATGCAAGAATGCTGACAAGAATTTATGATTACAATCTGCTTGCTCAATCCGTCACCAACAGATGATGGCATGATGATGCAAAATAGGTTATCTTCAAGATCTCATATTCCGGATTGAAATTTCTTAAGAACAACTTTTCCTTTCTCAAGAATATCAAGAATTGGTTTCTGATTTGTAAGAACAAATCCTATATTACAAGAATTCGAAGAAGTGATTTCTTATTCTCAAGAACATCGTCGTTTATCTTAAGAACAACGAAGAATTAGTTATTGAAGTAGGAACCAGAAACAAATGGTAGCAACCACAAAGATCCAGGGAACCACAAAAAGGAACTACATAAGAACTCCTAGGTATATATATATCATGTGTTTCTGTGTAAACATATTAGGGTTAAGGGTTTTAAGATCAAGGGCTCTGGGGCTTAGGTTTAGAGGGCCTTAGACTTTAGAGACTTAGGATGTTTATTGAAACCCCTAAACCCCTAAACAGAGACGCACCTCTACGCTTCTGGGTACTGAAAGACTGGGGGAGCGCTTTGGTCGCTTTTGCATGGGCTCCAAGGTACCGTTAGGGGGGATACTTCTTTACATCATACCAGTAAGTCCTAGTCCTAATGTAGAAACCCTAGTATACACCTACACCCTAAACCACAGTCCTAAAATAGGAACCCTAGTATACATTCTGCTGTGTAGGTACTTTGGATCCTTTGGGTTGTGGCAAGTTCCGCGTGCAAGGAGAAGGTCTGGCAGGGTGTGGGATGAAGAGTTCAGGGTTTAGGGCCTACTTTAACCCTCCAGAACCTACATCTTAAGGACTTATGTAAAAAGAAATCATAATAAGGAGCCCTAAAAAGGTAGGTTATTCAGGGTTTAGGGCCTAGGGTTTGGTGCCCGGGCTTAGCCCTTGTGGGCTTATTTTGATGGAGCGCTAGACTCAACCCAAAGGTTTTAGGGTGTACGGTTTTGGAAAGTGTAGGATTTGCCGAAACCTCGAATCTGCAGAGAAGGAGTTGTTTGGAGGTGCCTGGGTTGCAGCTGCCTGGTCAGCTCTCGCCACAAGGCGTTGGGATATGGGATGTTCCGAAAACTAGGGGTACATTATTTTGGGGTCCGTATAATATTGTTTAATAAGGATCCTTCTATTTAGGGTATTCTGTTAGGGTCCCCCATTTTCGGAAACCCCCATATTGGGGATTAGGTGTCAGAGTTTCGGGCTCAGGGCCCGTGTCTCTTCCAAGAAAATGAGCTGCTACTACTGAAGAGTTTGAAAACCCTGAGCACTAGCACTCTAGACCCTGAGATCCCACATTTGCGGTTTAGAGTCTAGGGTTTAGGTTTCAGAGCTTACAGGGCGTAGGATTCAGGGCTGTCATGAGCTTTCAGGATTTTTTGAGTATCTAGGTGCACTTGATTACGGGTGCTTCGAAGCAGCATGTTTTTACAGCCCGTACCCTACATCCGAGAAGGCTCAGCCCCGCAAGAAGGATTCCACCTATACAGTCGCCCAATGTGCACCACGACAGCTTGTTCTAAACTCCCTAAACCCTGACATACGAATCCTTGAGCTCTATAACCTCGATGGGCAAGGAGCCCAATCAGTCCAAGATGGAGGTCCAAATATTGCTCGTGCGCACAACGTGGAAAAGGCTCCTTTTTATGCTCAAGAGAACCTTCTGAAAACCAACACGAAAGGGAGCTCTTGAAGCACACATGGGTGGTTGGGTCCGCTTTTGGGTCCCTAATATAGCACGGCACCTAATATTTAGGGTATTCAAAAAGGGACCATAATTTTGACAACCACCCACATGTTCCCAAAGCTATTCTTGAAAGCCCAAATCATTACCAACATTAAAATTACGTTGGGTCCCTCAGTATAGCTTCTGGTCAATTTATACGGGACTTAGAATAAACAGGCTGTTGGGGAGTACCATACTGTAAGCTTAATGAGGACCCCCCTCTCCCCCCCCTCCCCCCCTCAACACAAAAAAAGCAAAAACGAACAGCAACCAGGTAGTTAACTACTCAGGCCCCTATCTTACGCCCCGACTTTGCAGCGGGATCCAGGCTCCTTCAATTCCCTGCGGGACCTGTCGTCGGCTTCAGGCTCGGGTCGGCAAGCGCGCGCTGTGTCGGGGGAGGGATTGCAGAGTAAGAACACCCCAGCTTATGTATGTAAGTATGTATGTGTTTATGTATGTATGCATGGGCATATATGTATGCGTGCCTGCATGTAAGTAAGTAAGTATGTATGTATATCTGCA